ACACACACACACACACACACACACACACACACACACACACACGTCCGACACAGAGGAAGAGGTTATGTAATCGTCATGTGAAGCAACAGCAGGAAATAGCAAAGTCTATTGATTGTAATCTTGATTCTGATATATTACTTCCTAGAAGATTAGGTGATCATGATTTGAGTCCTCTGAGTTATACCGTCCATAACTATGGACTAATGAGGCCACATAATGTACTGCATGATTACTGTTGCTCCACATTTTGCTGGATATACATTTTCACTTCAAGAAACCCTTTGATGCTCGAAGAGAGTCGAGAGCATCCAGCATTAATTGAGTTAACAAAATTTCATGTTTCATTTTCTTAATCCAGTTATTCCAAAGATGACACAAAAAAATACTTCACAAGAACAAGGTATTTCTCCGGGATTGCCTCATAGACTGGGTACCCAACTCTCATCTTTCTGGTATTTTAAACACAAGAAAAAAATACACAGTGCTCCTCTGCCTGGGGGCCCCATTAGTCAGGGGAAAGGGGTGCACGACGCCGCACATGCAACCCACCCAAACACAACAACTGAATCCATTAGTCCACACGGTTACGTACATCACAGAAACGCAAGCAGGTCCACTCAACTGGAACGTGCCAATATGCTCAGCTCCTAAGATGGGAAACAAGGGTAGAGGGGGGGATGAAAAAATTGTAGATTGACGAAAGAAAATAGCGATAAAGGGAGGTGAAGTCTAGCTGAAGTGCAGTGGCAAAAAAAATAAAATCTAGAAAAAACAACAGGTGATAGCGAGATGAAGGGTGTGTGTAGCATTTCACTGTTTTTTTTCAGGTCAGGAAATTGCCCTATTGAAGGGGACAGTGAAATGGGAGAAGTGGATGTCAGCGGTAAATGCGAGGGATAAGAAAAAGCCCCGTAGCCTCTGGTTAGTTAGTGTGATGTATGTCGCAGTGAGGTGGAGGGGGGCCGGTGTCAGTAAAGATGAGCTGCTGGAGAAATGATAGAGGACAGATGAGACAGGCGCAATGAGAGGGGGGAGCTGGCTTTGTTCATGTGTCACTCGTTCCCTCCATACCATGACAACACCATGTGGGCTTCACAGATCTCAGGAGACTGCGCTGACGTCTTCTGTCTGACAGACTCACTGTGCCACTATACCCCCACCACCCAGTTTCTTAATTCCCTATCTGCATGAGAGTGTTTTTTTACACTTTAAGTCAGGTCAGGCATGATAACCCTGACACACTCAACACTTGTGGCAGTTGGAAATAGTACATTCGGGACATTCTCAAGTTGAGAGTCATTGTAGAGCTGGTGGGACAATATTAAAGTCCCACTCCAGCAGCTTATTACTTCTTTGTTCCTTAAAATTTCATATTGAAAATGATCGTCAGGAAAACATTTGACTCTTTGCCTTAAATACTGCAGTGATATGGTGGAAATACTCAGCCATCGTGCTCAAAATATGTGATTTGCCGATGTTGCCAGAGTTGTCAACACGACCATCATCACGTAAATGCTGATGACCCAGAGGCTGTGTATTATCATATAAAGGCCTTTAACATGTTTAAAAACTTGATATTCACTCAATTCTGACCAAGGTGCTGACGTGGTAGCAGCAGGCGATCCCTGTAGAGTTGATGCTAATTCTAACAGACATGGAGGTTTAAAAAAATGGTAATATAAATCCTAATAAAGGAAGGATTGAGTTTCAAGTTGTGTTGACATGGACTCACCTAAAGGTGCCCCTCTCCACATCCTGCCCACTGAGTCGCACATGGATGCCATCTTTGAGGAGAGAACCAAAGGCCATATACTCTCCTAGAGCCCAGTCCATCTGACGATTCTTCACCAGGTCTGCACGACCGCGCAGGATACGAGCCACACCTGCACACACACAGACAAGTGATATCTTAGAAGACCAATGGAGAAGGACTGCAAAACACAATGAATTCATGTACAGTAGTTTCTAGTCTTGATGACCACTCAAAGCACTTTACAGTACAGTTTGTCATTCACTCATTCACACACTCATTCATACAGTGCATCTATGGGCAGCACTTTTTTCTATGAGGGTTCAGCATCTTGCCCAAGAATACTTCAGCATGCAGATGGGGAGGAGTGGGATTGAACCACCCCCCCCTTCTGGTTGGAGGACGAGCGTGCTACCCCTCAGCCACTGCCGCCTCATGACAAATGGGAAGTGAATATCGGAAGTCAAAGCTCAACAAAGTGGAGCCACACTGTGATATGTCTCACCACAAGAAGATGTTTTACTTGCCCCTTGTTCTCACAGGTTGGAAGTGAGCAGAAGGTAAGTGTTTGCATAGGTGCGACCAGGCCGATACTGGAAACATCACTATTCCTGCACAAAGCAACTAGACTCACCAGAGTGGATCTTAAAGTCTTCCAGAGGCACTGAGCTGGCAGTCTGGCCAATGTGCTGCAGAACCTTCTCCTCCAGTCCGGTGAAGACACAACTCATGCTCTTGGGTTCTCCCTCCGCTGTGAAAAAATCTTAAGAGAGAGCGATGGCTTCACTTCAGCAAGAACAGAAAGTATTCACAAACAAAGAAGAAAATGTTTTTAAAAGAAATTTACCAGGCCAGGGGGAGTCGAGCCAGTGTCGAATGTGTAAGATCTTTTCATCCTTCGAGCTGGTGTATGCCTCCTCACATATCTTGTCATATTTGGCAACTTCTTCCTGCAATCACATGTGGTATCACACATATATATATATATGTATATATATATATATATACATATGGAAGAGGAGGAGGAGGGTCTCCACTAACAGTAATGGTTCTGCCCTGCTATATAACAAATTAGGCTTGTGCAAAAATCCAAATACCAAACAATGTCCATCAACAGCCACGAACTAGCACACCACAGAGGCAATGCAGGATTTCTCAGTGTGGTATAAAAAAAACTGCACAGAATGGATGTTGTGATCAAAGTTTATGGTTTGGATGAAGAACCTGAGCAGTTCCACTGAATGGTGCAAGAAACTGAGATATACTTCAACTTCATTGAGCAATATATACTCCATGTGAGGGATTGTGAGCCGAGGAACTCTGTCAATAAATTGAAACTCAAATACAGCAGTGCTGGCACAACATATTTACTCAAAGGCCTGGGTAATATCTATGTGTGATTTAATGCTCTATAGTCCTGCAGATGGTGATATCAAATAAAACAGAATCCAGGACGAGCAGCCAATATACACTATATTTAACAAGAGAGAACTGCATTAGATCACAAACCTCAAATTCCTGCAGTGTCACCACTCCCTCAGCAATCAGCCTGTCAGAGTACTTTTTCAGCACATGCTCCTGCCGACAGATCTGTTTGTACATCAGTGGCTGAGTGAACATGGGCTCGTCCATCTCGTTATGTCCAAAACGTCTGTAACAAACCTGTAAAAACACAACACAAACCTTAAAAACACAAGATATGCTTTAATATGTAGTTGTTAATCCATTAAAACATGACTGTGACTAACCAGGTCAATGACGACATCCTTGTTGAAGGTGGTCCTCCACTCTGACGCAACCCGACAAACGTACATGACGGCCTCAGGGTCGTCAGCATTCACGTGGAAGATGGGTGCGTTCACAACCCGGGCGACATCAGTGGGGTAAGGAGAGGAGCGGGCGACCCGAGGGTCTGTGGTGAAGCCAATCTGGGAGGCAACAATCAGACATCAAACATAACTTTGTTCCACTGTGATGGGACAAAAGCATGTGTAAATAAATAAAACTTATGTGAGGATGAATATGAGTAAGTATGAGTACATGTATGACTATGAGAATGACTATGAGAATGACTATGAGAATGACTATGAGAATGAGCATGAATATTAGTATGACAATTAGTACGAGTATGCATAAGTATACCTGTGAGTATATGAAAGAAAATCAAAATGAGAGTGAGTAAGAGTACGACCTTAGTATGAGGAAGAGAGTGACAATCAGTGTGAGTATAAGCACGTGTCAGACGATGCCTATGAGTGTGGGTATAAGTTGAGTACGAGAATGAGAATTTTTACGGCCTTAACTATTGTCAGGTGAGCAAATGTGCCAGGTCACATGTTACAGTGACATGGATCTCTCCAGTACCTGGTTATTGACCACCACATGGATTGTACCATGTGTCGTGTAGGAGGGAAGCTCACTTAAGTGGAAGGTCTCGTACACAACTCCTTGTCCAGCAAAAGCAGCATCTCCATGCATCAGGATGGACATGACCTGGGAAAACAAATCATGTCACTGACTCAACAGGTGGAAACCCCTTGCCACTATTTTTCTCAAACATTAACTCAGCCCTTGTGTACGTGGTATAATGATCACTACCTTCTTCCCCTCTGTGTCTCCTCTGTAGAACTGCTCAGCTTTGGCCTTTCCCTGAACCACTGGATCCACCGCCTCAAGGTGGGAGGGGTTGGCCATGAGGGACAGCGTGATGTTCTTGTCAGTCTCACGGTTGATCCTCTCGTGGTACATCCCAAGGTGGTATTTGACATCACCTGAACCCTACAGGTACAGATATGAAGATCATGTTGCACCCCAGAATGCTCTACTCTGATAGTTTCCCATCTGGTCAGATATTAACAGCCTCCTCACCTCATCAGCTGCCTCTAACTTAGGGTCAAACTGGCAGAATATCTGGTCCAGGTCCTTACGGATCACGTTAGCGAGGACATTCAATCGACCTCTGGATATGTTGGATATATAGTTTACACAATTCAAATCAGACATGGGAGGAGAGTAACGGGCTGCATACATACAGTAGATTGAATTGAGAGGTGAGAGACGGCGTAATGCACATTACCGATGTGGCATCCCCATGATCACACTGTCAATGCCCGCCTCACTCGATTTGTCAATGATGCTTTTAAGAGCAGGGATTAACACTTCACAGCCCTCGAGACCAAAACGTTTCTCTGAAGACCACTTCCTGGCCAGGAAGTCCTCAAACCTAAACAGCAAAAGGTTCTGTTAATAACATAAGGTGGACATTAAGGGGACATATTATGCTTTGTCAGGTTTTCCCTTTTCTCTAGTGTGTTATATGTTTTTTATGAATCTGCAAAACTAAAAAGTCTGAGGTAAAGGAAGCTCCTTCCCTGGGATTAAAGAGACGGAAGCTAAAACCAAGCGTTTCAGACAGAGGCTGAAAAGAGAGATGCAATGGACAGTTTGGGAAAGTGATGTGTTTCCTAACCATTAAAGCATGTAAAGCTTTTTCATACAAATTTACTATACTATTAAATTAGCACAAAGAATAAATATGTCACAGGAGACATATATGCACAATGCACACTATAAGAATAGGTAGATCACCTGCAGGAACCTCCTGTGACTTCTAGGATCATTTATCAAGAACGAAAATGAGCTCACATGAATACAGAATAGGGGGTTTATCTTTCCAAACAAACAGACGCACCAGAGTTTTGTTTATGTTATGCAAGGCACTGATGTGAGCTATAACTAAAAGTGAAGTAGTGCGCTGTCACCAGAGTGTGCATTGGAAAATGTTTAGTCACTGCTGACCGTGTGGATCTGACCAGGCGGGCGAGCAAAGTTCTCTTCTCAGCATTAGTGAACTGCAAGATCCCTGGAGTCTCAAACTTCTTGCGGATCCACTGACACTGGTCCACGTTGTTTATGAACATGAATTCCACTCCTATGTGACCACAGTAGGATGTCTGAAAAAGAAGATATCAAAAAAAAAAAAAAAAAGGAAATAACTTTGCGATAGTAACATGGCAATGTGTTCTGGCTTTCCTTATTAGAAAAATGTTTAGACACAAACGCAAAATACCTCGAGTCTGCGTATGATCTCTTTCAGAGGCAGAGTGGTGTTTCCTCCTCCGATGAAGGTGGTAGGGGGCAGCTGGAAGCTCCTGTCCAAGTCAGACTCATCAAGACCATAGAAACCTATAATTATACCAGGCGAGGCATGTTTAGGAAGACCTACCACATATTCTGTTTATTTTGTTTCCTGGGAGAACTGTTATAGTGTAATTAATTAAGGCTTTAGAAAATCCAAAGAGTCAAACCAAAGGAAAGTGTTGTGACATGGTAATCTATGGATACATTTATTTATTTTGACAGTAGAGATCTTGAATCCAATTCATCTCATATAATGTGAATGCAGCAGAAAACATAGTAGAGTACTAAAGAATATGATTATTTTTATTACAATTACTGTCATACACTTTGAAAATGATTTAATCAAGGATATTCACATAACTTGATTAGTTGATAAGTCAATTGGCCTAATATTGATCATATTTTAACAATGAATAATCCGGTTAGTCACTTATGAAGCAACTGTCAGACACTATTGGTTCTAGTGTCTCAAAAGCATTTACTAATTTGATCTGTTGTATGTCACGAGCAAAAAACTTGAGTCATTTAGTTTTTGATCATCAGGGAAAAACCAGCAATCTGAGGACGTCATCTTAGGTTCGAAAATTGTGATGGATATTTTTCTCATTTAACTAAATGATTAACTGATCCATCAAAAGTATAATAACCAAAAGATTAATTGAAAACGAGAATACTAATTAGCTGCAGCTCTAAACGAGAGTGCACTGCTGCCTCCAAACTCTGAGCAAACGTCTGCAGTGAATCAACTGACAAAACTCAGTGAGGTTTAATCAGAGTTGATTAATTTGATGGCAAAACCTGTAAGAATAAAGGTCGGGGAGAAAATACAAACTATTAACCAGAGTGTGGGAGCCCAGCGGAGCTGAGGAGATACAGCATCAGTATCTGAAGCCTCACATACAGAAGGTTTCTGCTCTGACTAAACCCACCTGAGAGAGCTGCTCAAACTCAAGACCACAAGCAACATAAGAGGAGACAGGTGCAAATCATATTAGGAAACCGGGAAAGATAAAGGGGCCAGGAATAGACTTGTGCACTATCGACTGAGCAAATAAGAGGCCGTCGAGCCTATCATTAACTTTCATTAAAGAAGCTAGAGCCCTGATGACAATACATAATGCAACGCTATGTCCTGATCACGGATAACTTCAGAAACCAAGTCTCTCTCTGTTTCTGTCTCTCTCCTCTTTACTGGATATTACTGCACATTTCTACCACATGTTTTGACCTTCAGTCAGCTAAATGAAATGAAGAAAGGCATGAGCTCGGCCTGAGATGGCGTTTGGAGGACCAACCCATATGTGAGAATTTGATTAGTGTGGTTATAAATGCACAGGAAAAATAAAAATGTTTTATTTATAATTATGAGGAAGAGGAGGCTTTTGAAGTATAAGCTTGTCAAAGAGAATACTATGCTTTTAACTGAAGTATTTCAACACAACATGTCTCCTGAGGTAATTAGAAGAAAGTCTCATCAGCATAAACACAGCCAGTGGGTTCATTCCTTTCTTAAAAGGGATATAAGAAGGAACCATACCTCTCATATACAAAGTCTATACAGGAAAATGTATAATTAAACCAGTAGGGAACCTTGTATATCTAGTCCATAATTCAAGTGTTAATAACACAAACTGTTCATTTCAAATCAATAAAGCCTGTTTTAAACATTTTCAAAATTCTGATGTTTGTTTGTTGTAGGTTTGTGACGTGCACCTAATTTATCGATGGTGGTGATCAGGTCAGAGGGAACGAAGGAGTCCAGGTCAGTGTCCAGGATTCCCAGAGGGTCTAACTGAGCAACATGGTGACCACGGATCTGTTTAGAGAGATAAAGATGAGAGAGAAAAAAGAGGAGAGAATCAGGTAAAAAAATTTAAAAAGTCGCTACCAGGAGAGAATACCTGGTAATTCGACAAGGGGCTGCTGCCATTATGATGCTGACGAGTATTAACAACTGGACACTAACAGCTAACACTCATTTATAGGCCAACAGCTCCATTGAGGTGCTTTAATGAGAATGCACGCACACAAGCTCACACATTCCCGCCAGGACTCCACCCGGCTGGGAATAAAAGTGACGCCTTTGCCAAAAGACAGAATTTAATAAATCCCTGGGATAGTTCCTTGGATTAATTTGAGAGCAAGGGGAAATGTTACCACCTGTTTTGTTTAAGTAGTCTCTTTGATATTTCTATTTTCAAAAAGCAGCCGGGGTAAGTAGGTTAGACTTAATCTGCCAATTTGCATAGCCTGGTGCATTGACAAACAAATTGTGTATTCCTTTTAATGAAAGGACACAAACAGCTCCCAATGCCAGTCACATCTGTTGCAGAGAGCCAAACTGATTTGTTTAATGTATTTTTCACACACACATTGGAGATACAAATAGTCAGCCAGTTGAAGACAGATGATATCTTAATTCAGTACACACACTGCTTTGATATTTAAACAGATGCCCATGAGATATGAGCTCAACCTTCAATTTGTAAATAGCATAAGTCCATATTACAGAGACTGATTCATGTGTGTGTTGCTCACAGTTGGGCAGGGTGAGCGTGCACTAACCTGGTAGGCTCTAATGAGAGTGTGCACAGCCAGGTGGTCCTCCACCACTTTCTGTGCCATGTCTGGTGAGTGGGACAGAACTCGGCCCTGGAACAGAGCGGAGGGGCGTCCTTCACCCGCCTCGCCAGATGGGCTGGAGGCCTGGATGTTACGGAAGAATGTGTCCCAGGACTAGAGGAGAGAGGGAGACAGATCCAACAGAGGTAAAGAGGTTCATCTCAAACATGGGCCAAAAATGTCTTGCTAGCAGTGAACTCTAAGGTGTTTCAGTATTTCCCTCCATCTCCAGACTCTTGAAGTTAAGAAAACAGTTTGGGGGCTGACATGTCAGTGGAAGACCATTCAGGCAGGAATCTTGGATATTTACAGCTACAGTACATTTGCACATGGCACAGGCAATTGAGCTACCAGTACATCCAAGTGCTGGTTTATCATGTGCAGACAGAGATATGCAGAACTGGCAACTACACTAAAATGATGGTAATTTATCTGTTTAACTAACTGGATGCTCCACATTTTCCCTCTGCGGATTTCAAGGGCAAAACAAAAAGATTCTACTTCATATCTTAATTTGTTAGAGGGGATTTACTGATATTTGTGAATGAATGGTTACCTCGTGGACGTTTTTATGATCCTCCAGCCAGGCAAAGTACATCTCCTCCACATAGCTGGAGCAGCTGGCCACCGCTGAGGGAACAGGCGCAGCCCCGGAGGAGCAGCCTCTCCTGGGATCGACCCAGCGGCGCCTGCAGGCCGGGGCCCCTCCACCACACCCGCGCAACCACTGGCTTCCCCCTGCACATCCGCCCCGCAGGACACCCGCCAACGCCCGCAACTGACTCATTGCTGGAGGGAGATAGATGTACGCAGACTTATTGCTTTTTTTAATTTTTTGATTGACAAACACTTGATGGGCAGCACGCATTAGTGGTTTTGACGCCACAGCTGCAGCTGACTCATGGCTGGAGGAAGAGAGCGATGGATGCAGACATCTTGCTTTTTTTATTTTTTGATTGACAAACAATTGATGGGCAGTATGCATTAGTCGTTTTGACGCCACACGCCAAACAGCATTTCCTGCAGAGTGATTGTAGGTTACGATTGGAGCGCATAATAGCGCACAGACTCGTTATGTATGAAATGACCTTTACAAGCATATATTTTACATGGAACTTCCTCTGATCGCGGCAGCAAAACATCTGAGCTATAACTCAGTGTAAGAATAACAGCCGGCACGCAATGGCCTGCGCGTCTGTTTCTGCGCAAAGACGCTCCAGCTGCAAAATCCGGGTAACAGCCTGACCGAGTCAGCGGTGGAGTGTGACTGCTCCTCACCTTTTTCCTGCAGGATGCTTCAGCTTTTGCTTCAGTGCTGCAGCGCCATTACCAACACTCACAACACTGCCTATTTCATTCTGGGTCTGAAACCACTAATCCCTTAACGTCAACACAAATCCCCCATAATCCACCCCTTCTCGTCTCTGACAGTGCAGAAGCGCAGCGGTGTCTCCGGAGGGAGAAAAAACCGGACAGTGGTTTAAAAATGTCGTGAGTTTTTTATTTGGAGAAGTTGCATTTACCTTAGACTGCACTGCTCTCTGACTCTACTGTCATCGCCGAAGTAGGACAGGTACCAGTGAAGGTGACACACATCCGAGAGCTGCAGCCACGTCGGTGTGGACACGCCCCCTGCCACAAGCACGCACACCGTATCAGGTGGTGTGCACCCCCCCCAAACCAAACACAGAGAAAAGAAAACAAATCAGTTTATCAGTAAATCAATACAAATGTTTCATGATAAGATTTTTCTCAGGTGCTACAAATAAAAAAACATCTGCTATGGATGTGTGTTATCAGATTTATAATCAATACACTTACTTTCATCCTGTCATTTCAGGCCCCAAAATTAACTGTAATCCTGCAATTAAAACAATAACAATACAGGAATCTGTTAATTATGGCCATGGTTTGTGCTGTTTTGTTTATAAGAGCAATCAGATTTATAATCAATATACTTACTTTAATCCTGTCCTGCCAGGCCCCTTCACAAACACACACAAACACAGACACACACACACACACAAAATACATCACACATTTGTCTCTCCCCTCAGTGTTAATTATATGAGCCAATTAAACCTTTGTTAAGGCTGAACATGAGACACTTGAGCAAGCAGTTTCTGATTGATGGGCTTCTACCTTGAGTGGGTTAAACAATAAGATAATTGGCCCTCCCCTCGCTCCCTCATTCCAGCCTCCTTCCTTTCCCCTCCACCACTGCTCTCCTCCTCCTCATCGAGATTTTCATCATTCATACTTGGAAGCACGGGAGGAACAGTATTATCCATCATGACAAAGCACACCACTGAAAAAAGGGAGGGACAAGGGAGTGGGAACAAGTTGTAAGAGGATCAACAAGACAGAAACCAGTGTAGGTCTAAATATAAGGATCGCATTATCCACAGCAACATGTCGTCTTTAAAGTTATTGTATCAGATTAAGGCACAATATCTCTTAACAACAAAAAATTTCTCTTTGAACCCTGCACTACAACATATTGTGTGTAACCAAGGGTTTTCTCCCACAACAATATATTCAGCATGTATTTGCTTTACTAGACAACCCACAATAATCCTGAGCGTTCCCCCCGAAAGAGACCTCTTCCCTTCATTATTTGCATTTGTGTTCGCTGCGGCTCTCCAGCTGACCTAAAGCACACAGGGTCAGGCAATTATGAACTGAAATGCCATTTTGTTGTAGTGGCTTTGGTGCATGACAGAGATGGAGCGAAGACCAGTTGCTTTCTGGCATTTTATTAATAGTGTTCATCGATGAAAAGACCTGTGCCGCTGGGTAACAGGGCTCCGTGTTAAATTACATCCTGTTTAGAATAATTACATCACTACTCAGGACGAGACTGGACCAGCGGTTTGGTGTTTTTGAGACATTTCTTGTGTATGGGTAAAATTTAAATCCTCCTACCTATTGTTTCTGGTTGTTGTGCAAGTTTAAATACATCATCTATGTTTTGGATTGTGGTTATTCATTCATGGGATTTGCCCGACACGTCCAGCAAATCTCCAGTGTCCAAATATGTTATCTAAGAGGCCGTGCAGTAACATCAAATAAAGTTGATGTTCTGGTGACTCACGTTCATGGCCGCCCTCAGCAGTTAGGTTGGCCAAACCAAATTGACTGTAGTGTGTGCACACGAGTCCAGAGCTCATTTGGTCAATGCCGGGCTCAGTACAAAGAGCGAGAGAAGCAGATAATGTGTAATCCACTTACCCCAGCCAAGCCTACACACCATTTATGGAGGTCCACGTCATGGGGCTATTTAGGAACCCTAATTCATCAAATAAAGCATGTTTGGAGGTGGAATTAAATTTTCCCTGACAGCCCCTTGGAACACGTGCTGTTACAAAAATCAATCACATTTCAAATGATTAAATAATGTATGATTTCATTACATTAAGTGACACATCTGCTATGCCGAGACACGGCCACAAAAATATGCATAAGAAAAGAAATGAATTCTCTCTGATGAAGGCAACACTTCTGCAATGAAATCTGTTATTTCTAAATGACCTGAATTATTAAGATGTGCAATTATAAAGAAACTACAAGGTGATAATAATGCAGAATGACCTCTTGAAATAATTTCTGGGTAGCATTAAAAAGTTTGAGTCACCTAAAGCTTAGTTACAAAATCTTTAAGTCGCTGGTCCCTGAAAGATGTTTGGTCATTATCCAAGTAAATCGTATTGATTTGAGCTGAGAGATTAAATTTTAACTGTATATACTTTAATTAAGAAATTATAATAAAAATAGTACAACCTAAAAACCTAGCATACAGTACTATTCAATACATTACAGTCTTTAATCTGTGTATCCATAATTAAACAGAATCCATTGTCAATCAGGAAATACAGTGAATAATGATAATAATAACATTAAAAAAACAAAACAATCACATTCCCAAAGTAACTGTTGGGTCAAAACATTGAATAAAACTATATTTTGCGTGCAATTCTTTCTTGATCTGCTCCCCTCTTTATTCTTATGCAGTATCAATACTGTGCTTAACACTGATTATAGAGTGTGGACTGATTTCTGGTCCACACTCTATGAGAAAATGATCCATGGTATAAATTGACAACAACTGTCTGAAATGATTCTCATACTAGGGACCGTTTTATTGATAATTTTCATTTGTATTAATAGAAACCTTAAGGACCATATGTGTGTTGAACTTCGACATCCTTAGAGGATCGAAAAGAGCTGCATATGTTTGTAGAATATTTGATACATAAATGTTACCATGCATAGACTACAGAATGGCATCTCATCATCTCTCTGTACTTAGGAACCTCCCCACAGCCTGGGTATGGTATAATCGAGGAAATGACAAATTCAAAAAGATAAGCAAACACAATATAGGAGAGATAACCAGGAGGTAGCGTCTCCTGGATGATCCGTAGTGAAAAGTGTCCACAATCATGCATATGATGACTATTTGGACATATTTGTAATTATGGTGTAAAAACTAAAGAACTCCACATCACATTTAGTCTAAAGAAAGGCCTAACAGCAACCAGGATTTACTATTGCTATAAATCTCTGAAACATTTCACCACATCCGGTGGCGGGATACTAGTGTCCTAACACCATCAGCGAGAAAGGCAAAACTGTGTTTTGGTAGTTTGTATGTTAGGATCAAAAATTTAAAGGGAGAGTGTGTGTTTGTGTTTGTGTGTGTGTGTGTGAGAGAGATTGTTAGCACAAGACTGACAGCATATTGAGTTCTTTGAACCTGGAGTCTCTGTTTCGCAAAGAGACAGGTGGAGGGAGGATGAGTCATCACTCCCCATGTTAATGAAAGTCCGACGTTACAGGCGACATCCCAGAATTCTGTCTGTGTCTGAGGCATCGGCTGTTGCTGGAGAGGAGACCTTCTCGTAGATGAAACTGTAGAGACTGACGTCAGGCCGAGTCGTGCGGCAGTTCTTACACACCACGCTTGAGTACTGGTTCAAAAGGCTGTACAACCGTCCTGGGAGAGTGGAGGAGAGGACAATGAGACAGAGGGAGAGGATGGTGCAGGGGTCCAGAGGAGGAAGAAATAGGGTAGAAGATGAAGCAGAGTATAAGAGAAGGAGATAAAAACAACAAACGGGACGAGATTCAGTGGTTTAAAAATGTCACCGAAGCTTTGTTTTTAGAAATTACTGTTACCTGTAGCAGTCAAAGAAAAAACCAAGAGAGACCAAAATTGCAAGAGGGAAAAAACATGACTTTGTTCGTGGCTCATTTATGACCAAAACACACACACACACACACACACACAAGCCGTGAGCTTTTTCTCTGTAGCTCCACTTTAGGAAATGGATGGCTAGAGGGGAATTTCTCTGAAAGGCTTCAATAAATGTCAGTGGAAGAAAAATGAAAAGAGGGGGAGGGGAGAGGTATAGGGTCAGTCCAAGCAGTAATCCACTCTGCGGCGGAGGCTGAATGGATGGGCTGAGGAGGAGATGTGGCCCATAAGGTGGAATAACTTAACATAGAGATGGACTGCATCCTGTTATTTATGCGCACTGTACCTGGTAATGACAAGGACAACGTCCATGTGCTGTACGAGCCCCCCAAACTCAGCAGGGGCTGTTATCATCACAGTTCCTGTTTGTTATGTAATCTACTGTAAGAGGCAGATAACAGCTGTGTGTCTGCAGCTCCACCAGAAATTCCAACTCACGCATTGAAATGATAACAACTTTTGGTTTGGCGTGCAAGTCTTACCAACGTTGACTTGTCTCTCTGTGAGGAACGTGTGCATTTCGTTGACGTCTCTCATGAGCTGAGCATCACCGAATGTGAAGTAAGCCACGTCTCTACCAGCCTCTGCTGCAGCCATCAACTGAATCAGTGCTGAAAAAATGGGGGGAAAGACAAAGACAAAGGAAATCAAGCAATAATAACTTTGTATTAGTGTCATTCGTATGCTTCAGCTATAGTGTGAAATCATTAATGTGTTATTGTGGCCACTGAGTAACTAACTGATTGGTCAATAAACCAGGTGCTGCTTATGGCAAAAAAAAAAAAAACACGAGTGGCAGCAGCAATTTGTATCAGAAGAGTAAATAATCCACCAATGGCAGCACAGCCTCATCAACGTCACTCCATCTTTTAGCTCTTGCAAATTGGGTCTTAAGACTTTTAAATATTTAACAGAATGGATATTGATTTCAGATTAATGAACCCACAAAACAAACCATCATTTGCAAAATGTCTGTAATCTTTACACACAACATAACAGCTTAGTCTTATGTAACTACCACGTCTCAAGTCAGCCCCGAGAATTGAATGTAAAATATAGCTATTGCCTTCTAAAAATACCAGCTATGCTAATTCCAGGGCTAATGGGCGGGGTCCCCGGAAGCTAATACCATCCTCAGGGAATAAGTCAAGTCCAGTGGATCTATTCATAGCACGCTGTAGAGGAAATTAACACCTTCTGTTCACCATGAAGCTGCACACAAGCACAACAATGTTTTTGTCACAGATCGTCAATTTCATGAAACCAGGCATAAAACAGTGGATGCTCATTTTGTAACATGTGAACTAAATTAAATGGTAAAAAAAATGTGTCAGCATTTGCT